GTCAAACACGGCCGTGTTTCATGTCCTCACTGCGAAATGACCACGTCCCTGATCGATACAGAAGCAACGGCTTTATCGCAGCGTCAAGCGTCCTATCTTCCACTGCCATGCTGATATCCCGCCGTCTCCATGCATGTCCAAGCCTTTGGAAATCCACGCGAGCGTTGCTGCTACGCGAAGTAACCTCGCCCATGTGGCAACCACCAGAGGTCATATAGCTACCAATGCAAGTGAACCGATCCACCCATTATACTGGCTGTTCGCAGATAGCCAAAACCGGAGGTGTGGCGATTCAGTCCTAGAGTTGAAGTTGCAAAGGATGTACCGAAGCTTGCAGCGCTACGTGTTAATGTTTGCAGTAGTTTTTGCATCACCAGTGCGTCTGACCCAAAGAGTGCTATGTCGTCCGTACAATCAAGGTTCCTCAGTTGGTCACCTGATAGAATTTCCACCCCTGCAGGGTTTGAAAAACAGAGTCATTCATGCTAATTTTGATTACAAAGTTGAAGAGGAAGAGAGATATAAGACAATCCTGGCGAAACCCACTGGTCGCGGGAAACTCAGAAGACGGTTTCCCGTAGTTTTTTTTTGCCTGGATTTGGTAGTCACGGTACACTGACATCAGAATGGTAATTTAGTTGACATGCCTTTCACAGATAGACGGTGCCACAAGCTGGCACGATCAGCAGAGTCGAACTTGGTTTCCAGGTCATGGAAATCTACCATAGTCGATCGGCTGCAAATGGGTCTGCTCTAAGAGCTGTCGGAGAGTAAATATGTGATCTATTCAACCACGGTCAGGTCGGAAACTAACCTGAGTTTCAGTGACTGGGCTCTCACAATGACCAGTAAGCAGCCGAAGAATGATACCTATGAGAGGTTTGGAGGCAATGGAAAGAACAATAATGCCTCGGTGATTTTCGCACCAAGTACGATGAACCTTCTTGAATAGAATCATGTGACAGTCGCAAATCTGAAGACACTTTTCTGTGTCCCAATTCGTGTTAAATATAACAGCAAGTCCAGTCGATGCAGTGTCACCTATATTTTTCAGCAAGGACGGAGAACGGTCGTCGGGTCCACGAACTTTGGTTCGTTTCTACACGGTGAGCTAATGTCGAATCTCTTCCCAAGTGGGCGGTGTGGCATCGTGTTCTTACGTCGGCTCGGGTGATTCGGCAAGCGTTAGTTTTGAAGCAGGCCTGCTTAACTGCTCTACAAATATTTAGTCCAACTGGCTAGTCTACGATGCTGAGAATGGACCAACCGTCTGTGTTTCTCAGCTTTTGTCTCGCTAACTGATAGTTTTCTTTCACCCGTGTTCCGGATGAGCAGGGGTAGCACTTGGCTGTTCACTATAGTACTGGCTTTCTCCATCTCACGTGCTCTTGCCACCCACTAGTGTTGCTGGTCGATTCGAAGACTCATTGTCAAGCACA